GTGTTCACTTGAAATGTAAAATGTGTAATGGTGAGCTTTTTCTAGCATCCCTTGTGCTCACACTCTATACTAAGTGCTATATTTGTAGCATCTCTCTCTCTCTCTCTCTGATCTTAATTTTTCTTTGTTACCTGTTCTCTTTCTCTTTGTTGTTGAGTTTGTTATGTGATTTTATATTCACGTAATATGTGTACTAAGGGCTCATCAGAAAACGGTTGTGTTGTACAGTTTCCCATTAGTTTGTTGATTTATTTTTGATGCAGAACAAGCTGAGAGTATATCTTGCACCTTTTTTGCACGGAATGCGCTACACGTCCTTTGGTCGTCATTTTACAAAGGTGGACAAATTAGAAGAGGTAATTTGGTTGTGTTGAGTTATTTCTATTTCAAAGTTGTAAAGCGCTCTTGCTAACTTATTATTGCGTCTACTTTCTTCTCAGCTTGGGTTTTAACGAATTATTAAAATAGTGGAAACTTGTGTTTATGAACATGTCCACCCCACTCATGTTTGGTATGGTCGCTTATGCTTAAGATAATCTTGACATTGAAAAACTTGTGGTTGTGTTTTGGTTTCTCCAGTTTTAAAGATAATCTCCACTATTGGACAATAGGTCCACCAGTTAGACAAAAGAACAAGAACATCACCCACCAAAAAATTCAGTGCTGTGGATTTTGGTTTACTCGTGCTTTCACAAATCATTTTGCGAATTAAACTCTGCTTGTATATACTATATGGTTGTTCATTTTTGCTTTACTCGTTCACATAGCTTTACCTTTTATCTTGTCTGCACACATTCACTTCGTTAATCTTGAGCCGTTGAGTGTGTATTATGAGCTTCATGAATCCTTGAAGAATTCTAAAAGCTTGATTTTTATGTACAGATTGCTGATAGGCTGCATTGGTACGTAAAAGATGGAGATACGGTAAGGATCTATATGCTTATATCTGTGAGAATAATTTTAATACATAGTATATGTGAGTGCATTGTATATCTTTTAACAAGAATTATCTTTTGGATGTTTCTTTGAGTTATGCCCTTGATGATACTCTCATTTGTCTTCGTGATATTTAATGATCTGAATTGAATCAATTAATTAAGCGCATCTGAATTGAATTCAAATGTTATTTGGTACTATATGCGTAATTGTTTATTTGCATGACTGGCTTTTTTTCCTGGGTGTCTATTTTTTTCCTCAGAAGCTTCATAGCACCTGAACGCTTTATTTGACTGTTCACCTAGAGGTCAATTCAACTACAGATCATTATACTACATTCAGCATCTAAGTTTGTGACGACATGGATTATGATGATGATTGGAACTGTTGCAGGCTTGCAGCTTATTTTTATCAACAGAGTTCTTTCAGAAACTACTTCTAGGACCTGACATCTTTATGATAGCAGAAGCGTCGAAATTTATTTTTGAAGAAAAATTTAAGGAGATTAATGGTTTACTCCCCACTTTCTTTTCTTAGGTGATCTAGGACAATATTGCTTTGCTTCCAAATTGATGACAAGCCCTTTGTACAGTAATCACGATAAGGAACTATATAACAACGAAATTACTTAATTTAGGAAACTAAAGAACAGTCCTGCACTTCTTAGAGAAATTTTTTTTGGAAAAGGATGATCTAGTGTACTTCAGAGGACTATTCCTTGGCTGGGCTGGAGATATTTCTATTCGGCCTTTTGCGTTTCTGTTAGTTAAAAGTTTCCACTTTGGCTGTTTTAGATGTATTTTATTTAGTGGGGCTACTCAGTCGAAGGTATTTTGTGCTGATTCTGGAATCAATAAAATTGTTTTTTTCGTAAAAGAAATATTGAACCCTACTTTTTTTTTTTCTTTTCCTGCAAGACTGCAACAGAAACATCTATTGCTGAAGAATTTATCACGATGATCTTTATGAACTTTTGTTTGACTTTACACAGTTGAACTTGCACTAAATATATTCACCACAGAAGTCATAAGCTAGTTGTTTGTTGGATGACTGTCTTCTTGTTCGCAAGTGCATATTATATGGTTAAGAAAGAGAATTGCGGTTGTTGTGATTCCTTATTAAATGGGATATTAATGTTGGATCATGAGCTTAGGTTGTTATGCATGATTGGCCTTGGTTTCTTTATTATTACATATTTATTTTTTCCAATGTTCCTTACCTCGCCTTCAAAATAATGTTGATAGGTTAGTACCTGATTACATTACTTATGGTTCCAATGAACAGATAGTGGACTTCTGTTGTGGTGCCAATGATTTCAGCATCGTAATGAAGAAAAAGCTTGAAGAGACGGGGAAGAACTGCTTTTATAAAAACTATGACTTAATTCAACCGAAGGTAATAGTCATTCATATAAGTCCTTAAAGTTGTCAATCCCCACAAGTCATATTATCAATGACATGTGCATACATGGTTGCATTGTTCACCACATACCTTGTCAGTTAAGGGTCAATATATTTTATAATATATTTTTTGTAGTCGAGAGACTCATTGTCCCTTTGTTAGAGGCTTTGATTTTGTGCAGTGGGGTCTATTGGGGATCGATCGAAGCTTATGAATAGTTCTGTTTTTCTATGTTCAACTGTAAGATTGTGATTAGTGAAAATTAAGAGTTCTGAAAAGCTTGCTGTCTATGGTATAAATGCAAGTGCCAAACAAATTTGTGCTTCCACTGTTAATGCCTACTGTATTTCAGACTTAGCTTTTATGGGTTTGTAATTACTGTGGAATGCAATTCAAATCACCTGCACCAGGAGTTATATTGCTCACTCTTGCTTTTTTCATCCGCATTTTAAGTAAAGAAGATATTGTGATTAATTTTGTCTCTTGTATCGTGTCTATTTGTCATTCCCTATGCTGGGTTAAAGGCTGTTGTGCGTGCATTTTTACAGGCTTAAAACTTAAAAACTGGGAAACTGATTGTTTTATGTGGATTTTCATTTGGCAGAACGATTTCTGTTTTGAGAAGAGAGATTGGATGAAAGTAAAACCAAAGGAGTTACCGAAAGGGTCACAATTGGTAGGAACTTGGTGCTTGTTTGTATTTGATCAAGACATTTGAATTTCTGAACCTTTATGTTAATTGTTTCACTCTCCGCAACTTTGCTTCTTGAGCAGATCATGGGGTTGAACCCTCCCTTCGGAGTTAAAGCAGCTCTGGCAAACAGGTTTATCGACAAGGCTCTTGAGTTCGATCCAAAGCTCCTTATTCTTATTGTTCCACCAGAAACTCAAAGGTAGCTGCTAGCTGTTGTTCATCTCTCTCTCACACACACACAGGCATACATCAATGTGACCATGCCTTTGAACTGGAATTCCATTTGTATGTAGTTCCTTACATTTGTGTCTTTCATCAGGTTAAATGAAAAGAAATCGCCATATGATCTAATCTGGGAGGATAACCAGTTTCTGTCAGGAAAGGTATGTGTTTGTCCAAGAGGCTGAATCTTAATTATCTGAATAGAAATTTTACAATGGGAGTTAATTGGTGACTTGTCTCCTTTCAGTCTTTTTATCTCCCGGGATCTGTTGATGTGAATGACAAACAAATGGATCAATGGAATGTAACGCCGCCACCACTCTATCTCTGGAGTCGTCCTGATTGGTCTGCTGACATCAAGGCTATAGCTCAAGAGCATGGTCACATGTCTGCATCACAAAGGTATATGAAAGATCATTCTGACTCTCTAAATCATGGTCGTTCAATAGGTAATGATGATCAATATGGTGAAGCACCTATGCTGATTGATTATGATGGCATAAAAACCGATAGTCCCAAAGATGTTGAAGGTGGGGCTGTTGTGGCTGAGGAACACAGAGAAAGCTCCTGTGAGAACAGTGGTGACATAGGTGGCAACGAGAGTCCTGGGGATGGTAACAACATTGATGAGACATGCAATGAAATTCTGCCACGCATTGAGCCTGCTGAAAAGGGAGATCAGCACTCTGAGCCTAGCAATTCTGGTTCAAGCGCGAAGTACGGAACTACTTATGGTGGGACAACGGTTAATGTAGCTGATGACAGAGGTAGAAGAAGCTTATCGAGGAGCAGTGATGAGCCTTACTCGAGTCTGACTCATAGATGGTCCGCTGGTCCCAGTTCTGGTTATAGGGCTACAAACTTGGAGGAACCGTTTGTGGGGCACATGAGAGACAGATTGGATACCCTTGGATATAGACCATGCTTGAATGAGGTAGAAGATCCATTTAGGAGGGAGTCTGACGTACGTTCTCAGATTCGGATTTATGGTCAGCAAGATTTTGGTCCTTTAAGAAGTAATTATCTAGTGGGTCAGGATTCTGTAAGTGGACAGATTGGATCGTATTCATCTCCTTACAGCCATAGTCATCTTGGTCTGACAGCTGAGTCATCTTACAGAATGAACACGTCCGCCATGCAGCGGTATGCACCTCGGTTGGATGAACTGAACCACACGAGGATGGGTGGCGTAGGATCTGAACCTGCTTTAGGATACGAACCGCACATGTTCAGCAGCAACGGCACTTTTGATCCCAGGGCACCCCGGCCCGGTCAACACGGTGGCTCCATGGGTTTTGCTCCCGGTCCTCACCAAAGCTATTCGAACCAAAATTCAGCAGGTTGGTTGAATGAGTAAAGCATGTACCATTTGATCGGTGTGTTTTCCCTTTTGTGCCTGAGAGTGGTAAATGTTGGTGTATATTATATAAAAGTGTTTTCGCAACTTTGTACTCGATGCCACTTCATTAGTTTTTTGTTCCTTGAACGGAAACGTATGATATTTTACAAGTTTGTTCTTCCATCCTATTTTTCTTTCTTGTTTTGGCTGAATGAGTGAGTTTGCCTTGTTACCGAAGATATATTTGCATAACGTGATGTATGAGCATCTCCAACCATAACCTTATTCTCTAATCTAATATTGTTAAAGCAAAAGTGGTAATGCCAGGAGCTGTCAGGAGCTTTTGTTACTCTCTAATTTTAGGATTAGGAGCTCCTATGAGCGGGATAAGAGTGTGATTGGAGATGAATCCCAAAGGGCATCCTCAGGCTCATCTCTCTCCTCCCCATCTTCTACCTCTTCATCATCCTCCCCTTCAACCTCCATTCCTTCCACCTTGGTGGTCCCACCACCTTCTTCCTGGTTTGGTTTGGCATGTTCAAGCTCCTCCTCTTCTCCTTTGACCTTGGCCCTCTCTGTGCACCCCCACTAACTCTCTTCCAGTTCATCTCCATAGCTATCCTCCCCATCAAAATCATACAAAACCCCACAAACTCTGAGAACCCAAATTACCCAGTTGGTAAAACTGTTACAAACATGCCTAAAAAGTCGGTTTTGTTTGCTGTAAAAGCCTTGCTTTTGGCTTTGGTCGTTAGGTCATACGACTACAGGCAGCATTTACACCTGTATGTTATACTGGCCTTGTACTTCTGCCACATGTACTTAGGGCTAGAAATTGTAATGCCCCTGTGTGCGACCCCTGCTCGAGCTCTTTTCAGGTTTGATCTCGAGCCGCAGTCCAACGAGCCTTACCTTTCCACTTCCCTTCAAGACTTTTGGGGCCGTAGATGGAACCTCATGGTCACAAATATTCTACGGCCTACCACCTACGATCCAGTGCTCCGTATTTCTAAGCGTGTGGTCGGGCCTCGGTAGGCCCGATTTCTCGCTCTGATGTCTACTTTTGCAGTCTCAGGTCTAATGCACGAGGTGATTTATTATTATCTCACACGTGTATCTCCTACATGGGAAGTGACGTGGTTCTTTGTGCTACATGGATTGTGCGTAGCAATCGAGGTGGAGGTGAAGAAGGCGGTGGCCGAGAGATGGCGGTTGCACCCGTTGGTTTCGGGGCCGTTGACGTTGGGGTTCTTGGATGGGACAGCCAATTGGCTGTTCTTCCCTCAGTTGCTGAGAAATGGCGTGGATGTCAAGGCTATAGATGAGTATCCAGTTATGGTAGATTTTGTCAAGGCACACATGCCCTTACTGTCATGAAAAAGCCCTATCGCTCCAATTTGTGTGTTTTCTTATGAAACGTATCATCATACACTTTATTTCTTTTTATCGTCGTGTATGCGATTTAAATTCAGAAGCTTATTTAGAAAAATAATATTCAAGTGTCACTACAAAAAATGAACGTAAATATTTTAGCATATACAACAACCGCTTCATATTTTCGGTCCAAGCTCCTATTGGTAGACAAATTGTTTTATGTCTTTTGCGTTGTGAACCCTGTGATTAATTACGACTATGTCAATAGGATGTTTAAACTAATGGCCCTTTGAAACTACAATGAGGGCGTAATTAGATGGAAATACCCGTATGTTTTTTTTTTTTTAAACAAAAGTGTTAGTGGGTTAAATATGATCGTCATTAATAAGAGATTAACATTTGGTTGTAATGTCATTGTTCTGTCTCAACGTTTATTGAGTTTCGGCTCATGCATAGTCCCTAAGTCTTACTGTAAATGGTAAATCAGAGTTTTTATGTTCCCTAAGTCTTATTCTTCATAGTCATACAAAAGATCTTCATGAAAATTGGACTGCCCACTTAGAGCAACTCCACCCATGTGGGTTGCTCGGGGGACAGTGGAGAAGAAGGGGCCGGAGGCCCGGTGGAGAGAGCTCCAGCCGTGTGGAGGCCGAGCGACGGTGGGAGGCCGAGCGAAGGGGGGTGGGGAGTCGACGGGCCTGTGGCCCGAGGCTTTGCAATTTTTTATTTTTTTTGTGTCAGAGAGAGAGAGAGAAAGAGAGAGAGAGAGGGGGGGACCGGTTGCAATTTTTTATTATTTAAACAAACAAAAAAAACTATTATTTTAATTGCTTATTGCCAGAGGGAGGGTTTTAAGGGTGGAGATGTAAATATCAATTACTGTTCATTAATGGTAGTTACTATTCATTTAAGGCAGTTACTGTTCAATAGGGTGGATTGAATAGTGGATTGCCAGGGAGAGGGCTCCATGGCTGGAGTTGCTCTTAGAGCCATCATTGTTGGGATTCAAGAAGTAAGAATTCACTATGTTTCATGTTCAAATTCTTCCTAATCTTGGACTTTGGCTCACCAGTCTGGTACAACTGCCACAGAGGGCTTGAACTAGCAAAATGGTCCTTAAATTCCTGTTAATTTAACGGATGGAATGGAATCACATTACTCTTGGGAGCTTTTTCAGGGCGTTATTTGTGCAACTTCTTTTCAAAGTACATGACATTACAAAATGTGAATATTTTAGGATGGGTACTAGTTTAACTTAGAGGGGTGAATAGGTTTCAATTTAAAAATTCAATTCAAATTCAAATTCAAATTCAATTTAATTTAATTTTCACATGCACATCACATACCAAAATATCCTAAAAGATAAATAAAACGTGTACACATGATATAGGATTTAGCGAGGCAAAATCCACCATTGAGAAAATCTTCGGGCTTCCAAGCCTGGATAACACTAAGAGAAATGAGCACATAAAAAGACAAAACTCATCAACTAGACACACATGCTAGTAAGCAGTTTTGTTTCCGCGCTTTGGTACTCGATCTTTTTTTAGCCTACGAGTGGAAGTGGCACAACACTAACGCGACAATTAGTTACTTTCTCCTCAAGTTTTGCAAGATAGTAACACGATCATGAAGAATATATGGAGTGAAATGATTTTGACAATCAACCAACATGACACATTTTCATAATGGGTAATTTTATTTAAACCCATACAACCTCTTTTTACACCAAACTTAAAATTTTGAATGTTAATTGTCTATTTTACCCTATTACATAATTACTATTAAGTACAAAATGAAATTAATAATAAAACTTAAATTTATCAATAAACCCAAACATTATAATTAAACCCTACTAGCTAAAACCCTAGAAAACCGAAGAAGATGAAGCCAATGTCTCTTTTCTTCCCCAATGCTTGCACGTTTTGTAGAAGATAGAAGAAAAGAAGAAGAACCCAGGTACCAAATCCTGCTCACCTTTTTTTTTATTGAATTGCATCTCTCTCTATTTTTTTGGTTAATTTGTCCCCTTTTTTTTTTTTTTCTGTAAAGGGTTTTAGTTACGTCGAACAGCAATACGAATCGATGGATGATGATTTTGAAGTTTTGAATCCTCCAACCAAAGTATGACTCAATTTATGAATTTTTTGTTCGTTCGATTTCAATTTTTTAGAGTTTAGTAGATGAGTATTTTGGTTATGATTTTTTTTCAATCAATCCCGGATAGTTTCTTTATCTTTCTGCAACAGTAAATTGATGCAGTCGGTATCCCTGTCCAGCTGAACTCCAAAGAACCTTGGATTCCGTTTGGTGCTTTTGTGTTTTTATATTATTTTGTTTCTTCTCTGTCGGTGTAGTCTGACTACACCGCCAAATCATGGCATCACTATTGGCGCAAACTAAATGTTCAAATACAAAGTCTGCATCCCAAAAAAGTCTTACTTGCAGATATTATTTTTTTCTTCTCTGTCAGGCCAAAATTTTGGCACCGGTTGCTTCTTCATTTTTATATTATATTTTTTTATTCTCTGTCAGCCCAAAATGATGGCATCAGTTGCTTCTTGTTTTTTATATTATTTTTTTTCTTCTCAGTCAGCCCAAAATCATGGCAATACTATTAGTGCAAACTAAAAGTCCTAATACAAAGTCAGCACTAGAGGTGGGTTCGGTTCAAATCGGTTCGGTTTTTTGCCAAAATCGAAACTGAACCGAAACTTCGGTTCGGTTCGGTTCGGTTCAAATTTTTTTCGGTTTTTTTCGGTTCGGTTTTTTTTCGGTTCGATTTTTTCCGGTTTGGTTTCGGTTCAGTTTCGGTTTTTTTTCAAAAAATGAAAAATTTTGAAATCTTAAATTTTAACATATCAAACACAATCATAACATAAACATTCCGGCTAGACTTAAAAGATAATGAAAATAAACATTTAAAGTTCAACTAGAATTATAACATAAAGGTTTTTTTTTTTAAATATTTTGGATTTAAAGTTTAACTGTAAATAGATTTCTTTTTAGACGATGATGATGGAGTACAACCTTATTCATTCCTCTCTTTCTCTCAATCTCTCTCTCTCTATATATATACATGTATTCTTCACTAGCAATAAGATAAACATTCTATAATATACTATTTATTTTGATTATTGTCTAGGTAACAATTTTTGATATTTTCTTTATCTTTATGATCCAAATTTTTTTTATCCATATATGTGGTTACATAATATAATTTCTACATTCTGTGTTCAGCTTCTACCACCAGCAAATTTTGAAGAGGTGTTCATCAATATTTTTGAATATATTGATATATTTTTCAAAATTGTTAGGCCACAGAAGCTACTATACTTGGCCATAGGTGAGAAAGTTTGAATTTTGTTTTTGATCTCGTAGTGTTTAATAAATTCATGAGACTTTTATACGCTGTTTGCTTTCCCTAATCAACTGCAGTGCAGTTGAGATATGTGTTGTTATATATGTGTTGCACTTAATGATATAAACTAGAAATATTGCATGTAATGGTATAAGTTCTAATTTTTGTTGTAGATGGAGAAGCTAAGAAGACAATTTGAATTGGAAAGCAAACAAGTCCTACCAAAGCAGCAGTCTGAAGTATCATATTCTAATATTAATTTAATTATTTCGGTTCGGTTCGGTTCGGTTCGGTTTCTAGACCACCAAAACCGAACCGAACCAAAAGAGTTCGGTTCGGTTCGGTTTTTTCAATTCGGTTCGATTTTTTCGGTTTCGGTTCGGTTTGGTTTTCGGTTTTTTTCGGTTTTCGGTTTTTTGAACCCACCCCTAGTCAGCACCCCCAAAAAGTCTTACTTGCAGATATTGCAAGAATTGCTTCTTCTGTTTTTATGTTTTTTTTTTCTTCTCTGTCGTTGTAGTCTGACTACACCTCAAACACCAGTTACATCAATGTAGCTATTTGTCCATTTGTTTTTAATCATAACATGAAGGTTTTTTATTGTAATCATAATTTTGTCATTTTTTTTTTAGCAACAAGAATTCAATGATGCATCTGATCAAGGCAACGAGGTTGGACAAGAATGTGTGGTGGATTATACTGATCAATTTACAACTTATGAGGTAATTATATATTTATAGTGTCGTTGACATGTTAGTTAATTTTAGAATTTTACTTCGAAATAAAATGTGTTACGTGCAAATATTCAAAAGAAAAGATGCATTGATTACATGGGTTCGTGAACAGGGAAAGCTGAATAATATGGTAATTGTTATTAAAAGGTCTGATTTAGGAGGTGAAGGTAAGAATGTGAGTCGCCCTCGACTAACACTTGCTTGTGAAAGAAACGGTACATATTCATCATACAAGTGTGTTGTAGCATATGGTCAAAGGTCAAATGAGATTGGTCAGACAAAAAAACAATCTAGGAGTTCTGGTACGAAAAAATGTGGATGTCCATTCTTGTTGAAAGGTGATTGGACATTGAAGGTAGTATGTGGAGTGCATAATCATCTTGCTTCAGAGTATCTTGAAAGACATTCTTTTGCGGGGCGACTTTCTAAAGAGGAGAATGAATTGTTGGTGGACATGTCTAAGAGTTTGGTGAGGCCCAAAGATATCTTGGTCTCTATCAAAGACAGAGATGCACAAAATGTATCAACTATAAGGACAATATATAATGCTAGGCATCGAAGTAGGATGAAAGAATTTGTCGGGAGGACACAGATGCAACAATTGCTTCATAAGTTGTCAGAACATAAGTATGTTGAGTGGCACAGAAGTTGTGGTGATACTGTGACTGACCTTTTCTGGGCTCACCCTATTAGTATTGAGATATTACGAGCATTCCCACATGTACTTATCATGGATTGCACATATAAGACTAACAAGTATCGTTTTCCACTCTTACAAATTGTGGGTGTGACATCCACTAATATGACATTCTCAGTTGCTTTTGTGTATATAGAGGCTGAGAAAGAAGACAATTACACTTGGGCCCGGACTAGATTAAAGACATTGCTTCATGGCTATTGTCTTCCTGGGGTTATTGCCACCGATCGAGATTTAGCACTCCTGAATTCGATCAAGTATGTATTTCCTAGTGCGCAACATTTATTGTGTAGATGGCATATTAACAAAAATGTGTTGTCAAAGTGCAAGAAAATGTTTGAGTCAAACAAGCAATGGAATAAATTTAATAGAGATTGGAATTGCCTTGTGAGTTCGGAAACAGAAGAGGAGTATCAGCATTCTTTGAAAGAAATGGAATCTAAGTTCAGTAATTATGATGATGCTCTTGAGTACATACGAAACAATTGGTTAATTCCATATAAAGATAAGTTCATAGGCACGTGGATAGATAATTGTATGCATCTTGGTACTACAACCTCAAACAGGTATATTTCTCCTTACTTTTTCATAACTCTATGGTGCATTTTACGATGCTAGGTCCCGTTTTCCCATCACTTTATTATTGTTGTTTGGTTTATGCTTACTCATGTATTGTTATAAACAGGGCAGAAAGTGCACATGCAAAGTTGAAGCGACAACTTTGCTCCAGTCAACTTAACTTTGAGACGTCGTGGGTACATATACACTCCTTGTTGGAGTTGCATCATACAGAGGTTAAAGCATCTTTTGAAAAAAGTTGATGCTTTGTTCAACACAAATTCAAGAAACCTGAGTTGCAACGACTAGTAGGTTTTGTTTCTACCCATGCCTTGAACTTAATTGTCTGCGAGTCCAAAAGGTAGTTTGGGTTTACCTTGCATTTACATTATTATTGTTTAGCATGTGAAACTATATTGTATTTCAAGGTAACTTAAATTATATTGTATTTCTTTTAATAACAGGTTGGAAAAAGAAAAAGTGACTGTTGTATCTTGTGGTTGCACTATTCGCCAAACTCATAAGTTGCCGTGTGCACATGAGATTGCAGAGTATAGAAGGCTTGGTAAGCCGATCCCACTTGATGCTCTTCATCCGCATTGGAGAAAATTAGATTTTATCAATGTGCCAAATAGTAGTGAACAACTAGTTCCTCCGGAAAAGTCACGAGTGGAAAGATTTAATATGTGGTATGAAGAACAAGATGAAGATAAGAAAAGAGAGCTCGAGATGAAAATTGAAGAGCTAATGAACCCAAATACAACTTCACTTAATGCTCCAAAAGAAAAGATTAAGACAAAAGGGCGACCATGCAAAGTTGACAATTCTACTCGGCGTCTCCCATCAGCATTTGAGATTACAGAGGTTAAACTTGTCCAATCTGGATTTGATTGCCAAACACTAGTTACTAGTACAATTGCGAGTGTTAGCACTGTCTCACGAAGAAAAAAGAAGCAAAAGGAGAATGTCATAGCACCATCAAACAAGAAACGAAAAGAGAATGTCATTACCCTACCAAAAAAGAAACAAAAGATGAATCTTGTTGCCACATCACCAATCGTGAATGTCGACATTGTCCTTGATCAACTGAGTTGTGACATTCAAACACCAGAGACTAATATATTGCCACAACGTAAACAATTTAAGGTAGGTAAAAATTTGAGCATCTCTTGAAATACAATAAAGTTTTCCTTCATTACTTTGAAGAAACTAACGTTCATTTGTTCTTCATGTACTTCTTTATGTCGTACTAGATTTATACACCTCCTGAATTTATTGATCATTTGCCGACATGGATATATAGAGAAGAATTCCCTGAGGCTATCAGGACATATATTACTGGTCAAACTGATGTTAATCATGATGGAAACTGTGGATACAGAGTCATATCTATGGCTTTGGGGATTGATAATGGATGGCGTAAGGTATGAAGAGATTTACTACATCAACTACGTCAAAAGCCTTCTCTTTTTCAGGAGTGTTTTGTAAGGAACGACAGGTATGCAGAGATTGAGCGATCACTTGATTATTTTGAAGATGGTTTTGCACCAGAGTATAGTTGGTTGACCATGCCAGATATGGGGCATATCATTGCTACATGTTATAATGTGGTTTTGATACACTTGAGCATGACACAATGCATTACGTTTCTTCCATACTCTCTACAGTCATCATCTCAATCAGATGATACTGACCTACGTGAGGTTGCCATTGGTTATCTAACTGAAGATCATCATTTTATCTAGTTATAAGATATGTTTTTTCTTTTTACATATATATTTATTTTATCTTATTTGATAACTCTAAATTGATTGATGACTTTGTGTATTGTAGGTACATTTGTGTGAAGGTCACCCTATGCCACCAGTTTCTACCATGTGGCACAAAAAGAGTCAAATGAGCAGTGATATTAGAGTGAAAAACTTGTACTCAAAATACCAGGGGCGTGTGGATCAATTCAAGCAACTTCGAGGGCTAGAGAATGTAGCCACTAATGATGTTGTGGATCTTGAAGATGATTAAAACATGGTTTTTCTTCTTGTAAAGACTATTGGTAAACTTTATTCTCTGTTTAAGATTAAATCTCATTCTGCTTACTAAAACATGAACGCGAAATTCGTTCAATTCAATCATCTTCCTCCGGCCCGGCTAACACAAGAAAGCTCTGATCGTCATCAAATGTGATTTTAATTTTAATTATTTCATTTGTGAAATCTGGATTTTCGCTACGCCCACGCTCAATCATTGGATGTGGCGAAAATTGTTCCATAAGGACTCGGAAGTATCAAAATCGCTACTTGGAAACCTGCTATACCAAGTATTAAAAGTGCAGATGGAGGAGCTAGCCAGTTTATTAACACATCACAACAATAAACTTCGTCACGAATTAAAACGATGTCATTCAAAACAGTAAGTACAAGTTTAACGGCAGCAACACTAGACAATCACTATCGGTCTACCACCCACCAAAGAGTAGGAATATATCAACTACACATTTTGTTTTTGAGGTCACATGGAAAACTCTATATAGACAAGTGATGATCTCATTTTGCATTGCTTTGCATCACCAAGGTTACAGGAGGAGCATCATTCCTTTCTTTTCTTCTTATTCTCATTCTTCTCGGCCGAGTTCTTCAACTGTGGTAAAGAAACGATAGCCGTTTTAGTTAACAGGTCTACTTAGCCTAACATATATAACATCTCACAATATAAAATAAAAGAGGAGATGGTCTAAGCACCAACAATCATAAATATGATAGAAAACAAGACCGAAAGGAGGATTTTGCTCTTAAAGCATTAACGAGAACTTACCATGATAACCAGTATACGGACGAACACAGCAACAAGACTGAAATACAGCTGCAACACAATTTCAGAGAACGATTAGATAATTGCATATATCACCCTGTTTTAGCTTTTATACACAAAATGTAGCATTGCCCATCATTCACATGACTAATTGATAATTCCTTACCTCAAACTTGAAAAGAGCTGCAGAACCCCCAAAGACAGAAGAAGCAAAGTGTAACCAAATTAGCATAGAAAGGCCAGAAGAAAGCAAAAGTTCACAAGTTTAGTACGCAATACTTTAATAGAAAAAGGTAACTTACACGGGGTGGAATGCAATTGCATTTACTAGATACACAATGTCCCTTCCAGCCTCTGATTTTCTATGACATTTAAATGCAAATCTGCACAAAGATTAATACCATTAACAAATTAAGGATGAAGATACGGGTGAATGATATTACATTCACAAATTATTCATCAGTAACTGCAGGAAGATAAAGACAGTTTATTTAACAAATCCTACCTCTTGATTGCAGAGTAACCACATCATGCATCCAATGCAAGAAATGACGTTCTTAGAGCACCCATTTCGACCGAAACCAGAGACATAATTTACGGAAGCAAAGAGACTCAAAACAGCACAACCACACCCATTTCTCCCAAACCCGCTTATAACGCTTGTCCATGAAACCACGTCCCTTTTCGGCTTGCTTTCAAATAGCAAAACAGCATAACCCATTTCCCCATTCTTCCCAAACCCATCAATCATCGCATTCCACGCAACCACACATGGTTCAGACATTTCCTCAAACACCTTATGTGCATCGCACATCTTACCAAGCTCGGCATAGAAGCTTACAAATGAGGTCTTTATAAAAGGGTCGCGCAAAGTGTATGGCACCCATCGAGGAGTCCAAAGAAACCAAATCCCTGCACGACGACGACGGAGTGCCGGCCGATTCGACTCCCTGCGGGTCTGACGATCTAGAGGCTGCCAAGCGGTAGATTCACGGTGGCGGGAAGATTTAGCAGGGGGAGAAGAGGCGTTGATGGAGTGATGGCTAACAAATGGAGCAGCAGCTCCTTCTCCTTCTTAGTCTTCTTCTTCGATTTCAATCTTACATCTGACTAAAAAACTGAATGGGTGTAAAAATAAATCTACATACTGAATTAGGTTTATAGGGGGTATATTAGGTATTAAATTTGGGTTTAAAGAGATAATAATAGTTTAGTTAAAAATCAAATAGGTGAAAAGAGTAAATTAGGTGTAGAAATAAGTTAGATGAGTTTAAATAAAATTACCCTTTCATAATTCATTTCGATTAAAGCCAAACAAAAATAACATGAAAATATGCATTTGCTCTTAGAACCGTTGGGGCTGAAATATTGGACTTGGGCCGAAGGTGGGCAATTCGTGTTAAGGTTCAATTCTTGGCACATTGATAATCGTTCAGGCTAGATGATATCAAGATATCCAGCCCATAATGGGCTTCAGCCGAGTGCTACTGGATGTCCACCCGATTGTTCTATTTTTCTCATTAATTTATCCTTTTTATATTATTCTAGTTGAGAGATTTTCAATGTGATTGGTACATAGGATAGTACATCATGTGTCACTAAATAAATGATCTGATATGTGTACTAAAAAGTCAATAACTTAAAAAATAAAATTATGCACCATTCATATTAAAACATATAGTGTACCACTTGTGTTCCTATCACAACTAAAAATTTCTCCTTCTAGTTCAATTACGCATTTCAAGATTCCGTGTTGGCGAGTTACAATATGCCGACATTGTATTCCTCGCACTAATGAAAGGAATCAAGATTTAAAATCGAGCACTCGCACTTGACTGTGCAAAACAAATATTATTCAACAAAGGTGGCTTCGAAGTTTGATTAATATTCGGTATTGAATTGAATAACTTTTCTTTAACGCTTATTTTCAGCTACCCCTCTTATTCTTCATAAAATCTCGTTTTACTTCATACACTTTATTTTGTCTCGCTTCATTTCATACATTGTTCTTTTGTGTTCCACTTTAATTACCAATTTCGCCAATTGATTTAAGAAAACCGTTAGTTTCGCTAACGTGTAATGGACCCTTTGGTCATTTCAACAATAAATATAGGAATAGGTTAAAAAGTCATAATTATATTTTGCGAAAATTAAACAATTTAGAGTTGTTAATATGAGAAAATTTAAGTTTTTTTGTGGGGTTTTTGGCTTTTTGATTTTCATGCTAGAGTGATTTTGAAGTTTCAAGTGTCCCAAATCCAAATTAAAAGTGAAAAGACCAAGCCCTTAACATTTTTCCCAACTCAGTTAACGGAATGGAATAAAATGATACATAAAAAATGAGTGGGGTGAAATAGAATATAATTGAGGATGAGAAGTAAAGTGAGATTTTATGAAGAGTACATGGGCACATGATTAAAAATAAAAGTAGGGAGCCTCTTTTTAATCAAACGTTGCAACCCCACAGTAAACCCGTGGTGCCTTGAATATTTGCACGTTCTTGGGGGGAATGAGGGCGCATTGTTAGGTTGGTACATATTTCACCTCCTTACAAACAGTTATAAAAGAAGGATAAAAACAAGAAGGTAATGATCATGATATTATTAATATTTTTGAAAGCAATCTGGGACACAAAATTTGTATGTTCATGATAAGGTAACCCGATAGATAGGTTGAGGAGCAGGTGATAGCAACGAACGAAAAGATCAAACAAATTAAAAGAGTATCGATCAATCAACCGATCATGGGATCAATGGAGGAAGAAATCAAGAATTTAATCAAGGTATGCCTTTCCATCTTTGCCTCTCTTTGCTACACCTATTTCATAGCTTCTAAAATCCCCAAGGGCAAACTCAGGCTCCTCTCTCTCCTCCCTATTTTCTACCTCTTCACCACCCTCCCTCTCTCTCTCTCCGCGGCCCTCCCCGCCGGAGTGTTTGCCATGTTCATTACCTGGGTTGGTAGCTTCAAGCTCCTCCTCTTCTCCTTTGGTCATGGCCCACTTTCATCTGACCCACCCCTAAACTCCCTCCTCCTCTTCATCTTCACTGCTTGCCTACCAATCAAAACATCTCAACAGTTATTTCCAAATTTGGAAAGAACCCCTAAGTTGCCTCTGAATTTGCCAACCAAAATCTTGCTGTTCGGCATATTGGTTGCCCTTACTGACTACAAAAAATATTTGCACCCCAGAATTTTATTAGGTCAGTATTGTTGCATGTTGTATCTTTTTGTGGACGTGTTAGTAGGCGTAGCCAACGCAATGATGCGAGCAGTTCTCGGAATCGAGCTCGAATCGCCATCCAACGAGCCTTACCTTTCAACTTCGCTACAAGATTTTTGGGGTAGGAGGTGGAACCTTATGATAACAAATACGTTGCGCCAGACTGTGCACAAACCCGTGCGGTTAGTGGCCGAGACCTTCTTGGGGACTGCATGGGCCCCACTGCTGGCCGTGTTAGCCACGTTTTTGGTATCGGGTTTGATGCACGAGCTCATATACTTCTTCATGACGCGTGCGACTCCCACCTGGGAGGTGACGTGGTTCTTTGTTCTTCATGGGGTGTGTTTGGTCGTCGAGTTCGGCGTGAAGAAGGCGTTGGGTGGAAGGTGGCCGCTGCATTGGGTTGTGTCAACACCGTTGACCATCGTTTTCGTGGTGGCCACCGCGACTTGGTTGTTCTTTCCACCGTTGGTCAGGAACGGCGTGGATACAAGAGCTATTGAGGAGTGCAAGGAATTGGTAGAATTTGTAAAGCAAAAGTTGAAATGGGACCAATTTTCATGGCCGACCATTTCTTTAGGACATTAAACTGTTAGCGTGGGAATCCAAACAATTTAAGGTCTTAGTTTGCACCTTTGTCGTAAAAGGACTCTTAAATTTGTGTACAATGGAAGGGTTTCAAACAATGGATGCGAATCAAATTATTTCGAGCTAGTTTGATATTGTTGCGTTTAAAAAAAAAAAACTATTTCTGTTATGTTGTATAAATAAATATTTGTAAAATAAAGTTGTTGAGTGTTTTATAAAATTTTTCTTCTAAAAGTGCTTTTAACAAAAAAAAAAAGTATCTAAGTGTTTGGTAAATTGTTATATAAATTGCTATAAATATGTTAAATGACTAAAAATGATATGGTATTTAATGTGATATAATAATTATCAAAGAGAATAATGTAGGGCCAAAAATTGTAGTTTGTAAAATATGTGGAGTATACTTGCAAGATTTCATTAAATGGCCACTAATCATTATGCTTTGAAAAAAATACATTTTTTTAAAAAAAAGCTTGGTAGACCATTCTTCTAATTTTCTATGTCTTTCTACTATTATTAACAATAGTTTAAAAAAAATAGTGTTATTCTTACCACTTTATCTTATTTTTGTGCCGACCTTAACTTAAAAAGTGAATGGGGGTGATGAGTAATTATTGAGCATCTATCTTGTGTGTTTAGTCATATAATGTGTACGGATTCGTAATGGGTAGGCGGGGTATTGATGGGAAAGCATTGACCGTTGAATGAATTTTGAGGATGTTTTTTTTCTTCCCAGAAGCTTTAAAACAAAGAGTTAGATTTTCTCTTTTCTTTTTTTCTCTCATCTTCTTTTTTCTTCTATTTGAATATTAAATCATATCAATATTTTATATTATTTTTTTTATAAAAATAGAAAATAAAAACGAAAGCAAAAAGTAAAACCAATTTTGCTTGCTTGCTTTGTAGACCATACTCGCTGACTTGTACTCGAGAACACAATTGAATTGGAAGGAAAAACAGGTGGGAGATTGTGGCTTTTTTTCCTTCTCCACCCAACGACACGGACCAGGATCCTCTCCTGAGTTAAGGATGAGGATCCTCCTCATCAAGGTATATGGGTCGTTGGATGAAAATTCAACGGTTACAAACAAGGATCCTTTTAAAGTTATAATAATTGTAGCTGTTAAATTTTCATCTAATGGTCCATACCCTTTGATGAGGAGGATCCTCATCCTTAGCTCAGGAGAGGATTCTGGTTCCAACAACACTACAAGACAACTGTTTACCCATCCGACCGATTGCAAATTCACCCTTATGCAAAATGACTCTAAAGACCAAAAAGGTCAACCAACCAGAGTTTACCACATAAGCATTAGTCATTGTTGACCAACAAAAAATATTACTGATTTTCTTTATAAAAATAAAAAGTGAATATAATGAAAAAACAAAGAACAATCAAAATCTCATCGGATCCCCATTTGTCAAGTCCACACTCGCTGCACATTCTGCGGCACGGCGGCACTGATCCCGACTCCGTCAATCTCTCTCTCTCTCTCTCTCTTCCTCACGAGGTGTTGCCATGTCCGCCTGACTAGTTCACGACTACTATTTGATAAGTATGGTTCAGAACAGTGGTAGTTCCACAATGGTCGAGAATTTGGGCGGTGGTGTTTGTGTGGCCAAGAATTGGGTGGTGGTGGTGTGTTTTGGGGTTTTAGGGTGTTGTACGACTGGGAGGGGTCAAGTTTAGGGTTTGTTATTGCTGTTATAGTTTTTAGTTAAAAGACAAACTATTTTTATTTTTTTTTGCTAGAAAAGGAAAGACCTATATTAAAGAGAAAAGCCCCTAGGGAAACCCGTTTGAGTACAATCAAATAGGTAGGCTGGACGAGCAGTCAACGAAATAGTTTATCCCAAACATGGAAGCCATTAACTAAGAAATCAACACTTGTGATAGCATCTGCTTGAAAATTGGCTTATCTGAAGACATGCTTCCAACAAATATCCACAAAGAAGTCAGCTAGTCGTCGAATATCAGCAAGAATGGTACTCAGTCTCCAGGAAGCATGATAGGCATCTCGAATAGCCTCAATAACCAACTTAGAGTCGCCTTCAACAATGATGCGCTTAAAACCTCTCGAGTTTGCCATCTAAAGACCATCACGAAGCGCCAAACATTCTGCCACATAAATGGTATTCTGTCCAACACTACACGCCCCATCAATGATAGGGGAATCATTCTCATTTCTAATCACAAAACCAAAAGCAGCCTGCTGGTTAACCACTGAGCCATCAAAGTTAAGCTTGGCAAAACTAGTTTCCGAGGGATACCATCGAATGGAGACTTCCCCGTCTTAGACAGAGTATTGGCCTTCCAACCGGATAATTTGTTATGGATCTTAATAATAAGCTTTTTAGCATTAACAAGTCTTTCCAGGAAATTATATTATGGATCCCTAAGTATCTGCCCATATGTTGGATTTGGAGGATATTGACAATATCATTCCTAGTATGATTTAGAGTGTTATTGGAGAAGTAAAGCGACGATTTATGGAAGTTTATTTTTTGTCCAAAGGTATAGGAAAAGTCATTAAGCACTTTAGCAATATTCCTAGCTGCAATATTAGTAGCTTTAGCAAAGATCAGGCAGTCATCCACAAACATCAAATTTGTAACTCTAAACCCTTTAGGAGTAGTTAGCAAACCAACATTGTTTCTAAGAGACCCACCAATTTTGTCTGTCTTATCAAGGGTTCCATACATAAAATAAATATGTAGGGAAAAAAGGGGTCCCCCCATCTAATGCCCCTCGATGGATGAAAATAGCCATGAGCTTTACCATTAACTAACACAGAAAAGGAAGTGGACGTAGTACATTCCATAATGAGGTTAATCCAATGAGTATTGAATCCGAATCTTATTAAAATAGATTTAATATAATCCCAGCTAATAAAATCATAAGCTGATATTCAAAATGGTGTGGATGTTAATCATGGATCTTTTGGGCATGTATTGAATGATATACGTACGCTTTTAAAACCGTTCCAGCAATGGAAGGCACAATTTGTGCGAAGAGAGGCCAATTTTGTTGCTCATCGACTAGCCCGACGTAGTTTAACGTTGGAATGGTCAGTTTCTTGGTTTGAAGAACCTTCCAATGTAATTTCAAATATACTATTGGAGGACAAGTTGAATTCATAATTTTGTTGGTGCGGGACACTCATTTTCCCTTCATTCGGGTTCTCTTCCTGGGAAACTTTTTATCGAGGCACATTGTTAGCACCCTTTCCCTTTTATTGTATGTTGTTTCCATCATGAAATGAATATCATACTTGATTTCAAAAAAAAAAAAAAAATCATAAGCTTTTTCAAGATCTAATTTGATAGCCATAACACCATACTTACCCTTTTTGCCCTTAAATGATGAGAAGATTTCATGAGCAATCAGAATATTATCCTGGATGAATCTTCCAAGAGCAAAGGCACCTTGATTCCTGGAAATGCAATGTTAGCAAAAGAAAAACAAATTAATGAATTAAAATATACTAAAGGGTAACTTAGGAATATAGATGGGTGGAGAGATAGTATTGTTATTTATTCAAATTTAATCGGAGGTGGGAAAATAGGGTGGGTGGGAAGATTAGAATGGTGAGTGGGCCTAGTAGCTCCCTTTAGTATTTCGTATGTTCAAGATTGGCCAAATGGCCAAAATGGTCCCTGAGATTTGCATAACTCATCACTTTGGTCCCTAACATTTTAAATCGATAAAAGTGGTATCTAAGATTGTCCACCATCCATCATTTTGGTCATTCCGTTAAAAACTCTGTTAAGTGTCCCGGAGGTCTTGGCCGGAAGTTTAGGCAATTTTCAAAGCTTCGTAACTCAATCATTTCTTAACCAAATTCGACCCATAATATGTCAAAATGAAGATAGGAAAGTGTAGAATGAAATTATACCTATTTGGAATCCCAATGGCTGAAGGGGAAAGAAGACATGGTTTGTAAACTTAACAAGTCAATCTACAGTCTTAAACAAGCATCAAGACAGTGGTTCTTAAAGTTTGATCAAGTAGTTACATGACAAGGTTTTGTGGAAAACAAATTGGATGATTGTATTTATGTTAAGTTTTCAGGCTCAAGTTTTATATTTTTAGTGTTGTATGTCGATGACATCCTTCTTGGAAGTTCTAATATGAAGCTGTTCAAAGACACTAAAACCATGCTCAGCAAGAATTTTGAAATGAAGGACCTTGGGGAAGCACATTATGTGCTTGGTATTCAAATTGTTCGAGATAGATCAAAGAGGTTACTTGGTTTATCAGAAAAGGGATATATAGAAAGGGTACTAATAAGATTCAGCTTGGCAGACTGCAACAATAGTGAAGTGCCAGTAAACAAGGGAGACATATTTTCAAAGGCTTAGTGTCCTAAAACACCATTGGAGTTGGAATAATGAAAAATAAGCCTTATGCTTCATTGGTGGGAAGTTTGATGTATACAACTATTTGCACAAGACCAAACATTGCTTTTATAGTTGGAATGTTGGGTAGGTTTCAAGCAAATCCAGGCGAGTCACATTGGGTAGCAGTAAAGAAGGTTTTAAGGTACATGCAAAGAACCAAGAACTACATGTTGGTTTATGGCAGGAAGGAGCTTTTGGAGTTAGTTGGCTACACTGATTCTGATTTGGCCGGTGATGTAGATGATAGAAAATCCGTTGGAAGTTATATATTTATGTTTAGTGATGGTGCAGTCTCTTGGAAAAGTGCAAAACAGGCTGTCATAGCTAAATCAACAATGGAGGCAGATTTTATAGCTTGCTTTGAAGGGATGAAATAAGTTGTATGGTTAAAGAAGTTTGTGACAAATTTGAAGGTTGTCAATTATGTGCAAAGGCCTATTAAAATGTACTGTGATAACAATTCTGTAGTATTCTTTGCCAAGAACAATAGGAGAACTCAGATTCAAGATTGATGGATGTAAAGTTTCTTAGAGTCTGAGAAAAGGTTAGAGAATGAGCAATTCAAGTGGAGCACTTGAGTATTGATGCAATGGTTGCAGATCCTTTGAATAAGGCATTGCCAATTGGAGTGTTTAAAGCTCATGTCTCTCGGATGGGAATACTTGAATCATTTGATCAGTGGGAGTGATGTGTTACTAAGTGATTGTTCGATTGCTGTTGTGAAGTTCAGAGAGCTGGTGCAGCGATATAGACAGGTTTTAAGTTTAAATTTAAAGTTTATGGCTGAATAAAGATAGTATCAGGTTACATAGTCTTGTTTTCAGTTTATTCTCTTTTTTGAATTGAGATCAGTTATGATGGTCTATTGTTTTGAGAAATAAAGTTTGGGATAATTCATTTGATGCTATTATAATGGTTAGTCTATTCAAAGCACTTGTTGTTGAATTTTTTATTCATACGTTGTTTTGGAGCAATGGTTTATCTTAAAATCTTGTTGACAGTGGTGTGAAATAGTGGGAGCAAATTATTTTATTTATTTGCTAATATTGATCAAGTTCACAATGTTGAGGATACAAATTGAATGTATGCGACTCTTGAGAACTGTTTTGCTTTATTGTAGTAATAAAGTTACAAGAGTTCTGCATTTTGAGATGTATGTTAGTTGGTTGTGATTGAAGACTTTTTGTTAACAGGCTCAGTGATCACTTCTATCTGAGAATGGTTGAATAAGCTGAGTACTTAAAACTGTTCTCATACTCAAGTGGGAGAATGTAAGAATATGAGTATGAGATAGAGAAGTTTTAGGACTGGCTATAGGTGTTCAATTTGATAGAAGAGTCTTGTTGATAAAAGGAATGCTAATCCTTGTCAAAGCAGGATTTTGTATAGCATTAAGATCAGTACAAGGAAACAAGCATTTGTATCCTATATGGATTTTAATAGGGAATCCTAATCTGTTATGGTAAAGATTATATGTATATATATAGTGGCCTCTCTTCTCATAGGGCTAATGCTCATATTTGGACTTAACCTATTTGTAAGTCAAGCTCTTGATAATCTGCGAGAGAAGAGAAGGCACACTGAAAGCTTGCTGCCATGGCTTCGGTTCTGCAACTGGTGCAGGTTTGCTCTTCTTGCTGGTTTTCTCATATACATAAACTGGATATTTCTCTCCAAGTTGTAGTTCATGTTTTGGTCTTGGAGTTTGTGATTTCTATGCTAACATGGCCATGTTCCCAATGTCCATAGCCATGCTCATGCCCTCCATGTCCGTGCCCGTATCCATGTTTATGCTCGTATCCGTGATAATGATCACCATAGGTGGCCTTTTCAACGCTCTCCTCTTGAAAAAAAAACAATTAAATTGGATATCAAAAACTGAAAATGAAGCCTTGTAAGTGCAGTAGCAGTACCTACCGATGCATGCAAAGTGACTAACCATCCGGATGTTCCCAAGTTACTCGTTTTCCCAACAAAAAATAAGTTCGAGAAGAAAACGGGTGGGAAACTAAAGTCAAAATTCGTAGCATGCATGTTAAAACCTGCGATGATCTGTGCATGATGAATAAAATGTGCCTAGCAAAATTTACAAATGCGTAATCGAATAAGAGAAACAAGAATTGATTTTAATTGAGAAAGCGAGAAACTCACGGGTTTGAGTAGGAGCTGTCTCAGTCAAGACCTAGTAGAAGAAAAGTTTTTGAGGACGCCATGTTTGCTTATAATTAACAAATCGAGGTGATAGAATAGAATTATGAGGTAAGAGATGATCGCAGAGTGAAGTGAATATCATGTTGTTTGGCTTTCTCTATTTATAGACCTTCAAAGTCAAGAGAAGGAGAGGGAAAATCTTTGGACACCCACATTTTTTTTCACAGTAGAGTGGTAAACGAAAACTATTTTTACCTAATACATATCAAATTCCCTCGAGTAGTTTGAACTCTATCAAAGCATGCTTTGTTTGGTTTGATGATATGTTAACACCACTACGTATTAAGTAAGAAATGAGCCATCTAACCTAGCTAGTAGGTCATCAAAATTTGTTTCTACGCAATATGTGGCAATGTGGTCATAGTTGTAGATGGCTTTTGCTAATTATGTGAAAAATGTAACTAAGCACCATTAACTAAATCAAACAGAAATTGGTTTTCAGTTGTGATTCCTTAGAATAATAAATTGATATAGTAAATGATCAACAACTAAGTCAAAATAAGTAGTTTGTCATGATTAATAGTATAAGAAGGCATTTCAAGGGATATATCTACATTTGTAGACGGATATACTTTAGTTCATATCGGAAATTTTAGAGAGGTGGATCACATTGTAGGATATGAAGTTTATGTAATTGGTATTTAGGGGTGGAATAAATTGCAGATACTCCTTTTGTTTAAATTTTGGTTTTTATGTAATTTTCGTTTGATGCTGCAATTTTTTTATATTTCTTGATAATGTGTATCTGGGTGATGATGAAATAACAGTTTTGTGAATGTTTGGCCAGTGTTTTAACTGTACAGCAGCACACTTTTTCTAGAAAATGAATTCAGCTCAATAATCTTACTCAACCATTAAATGTATACTTATTCAAAGTTTACCCTCATGTTACAAACGTTTTAACAGGGCATGTCTCAACAACCATCAATACGGAATGCAACACCAAAAGACTTACAGGGATATAAATGGAGCTTTCGCCATATAACTCAAGGTATTTTTAAAATTAGCACTTTTAATCATCTATCTGTGAAACCAACTTTACTCTCATTGTTAATATTTGTTATACAACCACAAATTAAATACATACGTCCCGTTGTTGTGAAACTAAAAAAATGCAATTCCAATGGTAACCAATCATATGTAATAGTATTTATATTTGTCAAAACCTATAAATAATATTTTGGACATTTTATTGATCTTACGATCCTTGCTGCAAAGCGTTTACAATTGTACTCTATTTTAGTCTCCGGCAGCCGAATTGGGATCGGTCTGAAAGAGCTATGTGTGTTTACCGTTTTTAAGGTAAGGTATTCATGGATCTCAACTTTTAATTTGTTTCTCAATTTTCTTTTTTAGTTTTGGATTTGTAAAAGCCCTCTATTGAATTGAATACTGGTATGATCCCTTACAGGAGAAAAAAGCTTCATTTTTTTCTTAATATTTTAGTTTTTGTATTACTAATTAGCTACAGAAGTTATATATTCTTATGAGTACAGTATGGATGCAGGTTTGCTGTATTGCTTTTTGGGATAAGATTACTCTAAATACAAAGGAAAAATTGAATTGATATTATTGGTTTGTATGCAGAAATCTCAATTACCCAGAAATCTGAAGTGGTAAAGAAAGGTACTCATCTCTTTCTCTTTGACTTTTGCTTCGTTTTTACCTCTTTTTCCATTTTTGGGTAACATTTTCTGCTTCATAGTTGGCTTTAATATGAAGTTTTTTGAAGCTATTGAAACCCATTTGGTTCTGTTTGATTGATTCTCTATTTAGGATTTTTTCTGCTTTGCTTGGTGGGTTCAAGTTCATTTTATTAGATTCGATTTTATTCCAATGAGTTGCACATATATAATTTGGATTTGATTCCTTTGCTTCATAGACAATTTTTGAAATTCTTTTTCTATTTCTCTCCTAATTTTAGTCAACCAGGCGAAATGAAAACAGACCCATTAGATTAAGGAGGTTCAACGCTACTCATTGTCCTTATTGTAGATAGGGTTGTAAGTAGATTTTCCACATGTATATAAATAGTAAAGTTTATCATATATAGATTTAAAAATTTTCTATATATTTTGTATAGTTTCAATACCTGCAGCATCGTGCAGACACTCTTGCTAGTCACTACTATATTGTAGAACTCGGAAAAACGTACTTGATTTTATCCCCTCCCTTTTTCCGGTTGAAGTTTTTCATTGTCGCCATTTGCAAAGGATAGATACAGGTTCCAAACTGAAGTCCGATAGTACTACACAACACACGAGATGGGGTCCGAACCTTAATTCGAAACAACACGAATATAACAAATCAAATCGCATATTGCAGTATATAACAATTACTCTTCTAAATTTGGAGAGGGGTGGTACGCTTGGCTATAAGTGCAATTGAGGGGAGAATTTGGTTTTAGTTACGAAATTACCATTTTTTAATGCAGATATGAGCTATGGTGTGGATTTGTGGGTTTGGGGCTACATGAGTTATGGTGTGAATTTGTGGGTTTGGTCTGTCGCGTCCCTTTCCTCAACTATAGTAATACTTTTACAAATTTAGGCTCATACTAAGTCTGGTTCAATTAATTATGACTCATTTAAACATGTCTGTTTTTTATTTAAGGAAAACTAATGAAAATGGCTTGAAAACTTTGAGTTTTAATGATAAGGACAAAATAAAGGGTAAAGTGAATAGTACCAGGATTGACTTTTTAGTGTAAAAATGTGGTTTTTCGTTATAGTGAACAGTACCGGATGCTTTTCGTTAAAGTTCCCTTTTATTTATGGTCAATGGTTTCATTGGTACTGGCAAGTTCATTTTCATATTATGGCAATGATTTAAAGCAATATTAAAAACATAGTGGGTTGAATGCCATTTACTTGTATTATTGTTGAAAATAAACGTATTTCTTTTTTCATATTGCTTTAATTTCATTTTGATGAAAGAATAAACAAGATTTATTTTTTTTTAATTTTTTTTCTTGCACAAATATATAGTATTAAAACTTTTAGTATATTTCTTTATTTACATGACAAATTTTCGACCCACCACAGCACGCTTCATGAATACTTGTGATATCCAAAGCGCACGGTTCATGGACTGCTTTTATTGACTAGCAAATATTTATTGCAACGCATACTACTTAAGTACCACAGGCAAATTAAAGGGTCATATATCTAATTCTGTACTTCTGCCTCTGCAGCGCCAGCTACTAGTTTTCCGTGATGGCCGTGCCCATGCTCGTGCTCCCAATGTCCGTGGCCATGCTCTCCATGTCCATAGCCTCCATATCCGTAGCCTCCGTGTCCATAGCCTCCATGTCCATGATTTCCATGTTTGTGCTCATAGCCATGGCCATGTTCCCAATGTCCATAGCCATGCTCATGCCCTCCATGTCCGTGCCCATATCCACGTTTATGCTCGTATCCGTGATAATGGTCACCATAGGTAGTCTTTTCAACGCTCTCCTCTTGAAAAAGAAAGCAATTAAGTTGGATATCAAAAACTGAAAATTAAGCCTTGTAAGTGCAGAGCAGTAACCACCAATGCATGCAAAGTGACTAACCATCCGGATGTTCCCAAGTTACTCGTTTTGCCAAAAAAAAATGTTTAAGTTCGAGAAGAACACAGGTGGGAAACTAAATCAAAATTCGTAGCATGCATGTTAAAACCTGCGATGATTTGTGCATGATGAATAAAATGTGCCTAGCAAAATTACAAATGCGTAATCGAATAAAAGAAACAAGAATTAATTTTAAGTGAGAAACCGAGAAACTCACGGGTTTGAGTAGGAGCAGTCTCAGTCAGCTCCCGAGCGGAAACCTCAGAGAAGAAAAGGAGAACAGCAAAGACAAGACCTAGTAGAAGAAAAGTTTTTGAGGACGCCATGTTTGCTTGTAATTAACAAAACGAGGTGATGGGATAGAATTATGAAGGTAAGAGATGATCGCAGAGTGAAGTGAATATCATGTGGTTTGGCTTTCTTGATTTATAGACCTTCAAAGTTAAAAGAAGGAGAGGGAAGATCTTTGGACAGCCACATTTTTTTTCACAGTAGAGTGGTAAACGAAAACTATTTTTACCTAATACATATCAAATTCCCTCGAGTAGTTTGAACTCTATCAAAGCATGCTTTGTTTGGTTTGATGATATGTTGATACCACCAGTGGCGAAGCCAGGATTTATCGGGGGGAGGGGCGAACTTCTGGCAATTTGTTAACCCAATCTCAATGAAGACATCACTTCCGGCATTTCCCTCTTTATCAAAATCACACTTGAATGGATAGCAATAACGGTAAAATGCGGTATCTTTTACTATACTATACTCCAACCACTTAAAATTATCAAACCAACGGGGTGACAAAACATCGATTATTACTAACTTTTATGGGCATGATGTGATCTTTAGGTTGACAAGGATTGTTTTGGAGATAATGTCGGCGAATTGCTTCACGATAATTAGGTGGATAATCAAGCATTCAACGTCTATGTTCAGGGTCTACATGAAGATTAGCCAGTATTTCATCCAACTCAGTGACCTCACTTTGTTGGGAATTATCCGGAATACTCGAAGAAGAAATATTTGGAATATTCGAAGGAGGACTACTCGGAATATTCGAAGAAGGACTAGCCGGAATATTTGAAGGAGGATTTAAGCATTGTTTCTTATAGTATCGTTCCATTGTTTAACTGTATATGAAAAAGAAAAAAAAATCTTAGACTCTTAATTCTAGAGTAAGCTATACTATAGTCAATATGAGTGCTAACTAATTAAACCAACAATTCAATTAATCAATACCAATATTCATATAAATTATTTAATACACAAAAATTCAATTAATAGATTAATATCAATAATCAAGAATTCAATTTTTACTCTAGACAATAATTTCATTCATTAATAATCATTCATAGGATTCATATTTATATGCAAAAATAAAAAATCAATAACTATATTAGTGTATTACTCTATGATTCTATATTAATTAACTGAAATTTTGTATTAATTAATCAATTAGGATTAGGGATAATATAAATTAGAAAGTTAAAAAATTTACCTAAAATTGAGAAAACCAACCCATCAGGTTGGCTGCTGTGCTGGAGGTTTTCAAAAGGGTAAATTACATAGTAGCCCCTCAGGTTTGAGCTCTATTGCAATCTTATACAACATCTTTAAAACATTTCACTTTCATACCTCAAGTACTATTTTATTTCAATTTTATACAACCGTTAGATTTTCCATCCATGGATCTGTTAAATGCTGACGTGGCTGCCAAATGTCTGCCACGTGGCAAATAAAAATAAATTTTTAATTTTTTTTAAAAAACCTGAAATTGGAAGAAAAAAAAAATAAAAGAAAGGGACCAAACCCAGAAGAAGGAGGAAGAAGAAGAAGAGAAGAAGAAAGAGGAGGGAGGAGAAAGAAGAAGAAGAAGAAGAAAAAAAAAAAAAAGAAAAAAGAAAGGGGTCCGAACCCAGAAGAAGGAGGAAGAAGAAGAAAGAGGAGGAGGAGGAGGAGGAAGAAGAAGAAGAAGAAGAAGAAGAAGAAGAAAAAAAAAAAGGGACCGAACCCAGAAAAAGGAGGAAGAAGAAGAAGAGAAGAAGAAAGAGGAGGAGGAGGGAGAAGAAGAAGAAGAAAAAAAAAAAAAAAAAAAAAAAAAGGTCCGAACCCAGAAGAAAGAGAAGAAGAAGAAGAAGAAAGAGAAAGAGAAGAAGAAGAAAGAGAAAAAAAAAAGTGGCAGATATGTTTTTTTAAAAAAAAAATTAAAAAATTATTTTATTTGCCACATGGCAGACATTTTGCAGCCACGTGTCATATATGTGGCAGCCACGTCAGCATTTAACAGATCCATGGATGGAAAATTTAACGGTTGTATGAAAGTGAAATAAAATAGTACTTGAGGTATGAAAGTGAAATGTTTTAAAGATGTTGTATAAGATTGCAATAGAGCTCAAACCTGATGGGCTACTATGTAATTTACCCTTTTCAAAAAGTGGGGTGGTTTTCAAAAAGTGAAGGTCTACTTTGAAAAATGGAAGGCACGGGGACAGTGGTCTCCTTTAATTTTTTTTTTTTTTAAGCAATTAACGAAACGGCGTCGTTTGTTTAAGGATTTTTCCTTTTTTTTTCAATACTAAATGAAACGGCATGCCGTTTCATTTAAGGGATTTAAAAAAAAATTACATAAGTTGCTGCTTGATGTGAAAATTACTTGACACACAAATTAAACCCTATTGATGACAATTGTAGTAATGATGTAAGTAGGGATCGTTCTAGACTGGGGATTAACTAGGGATGCTAATCAACAAATATAAGACTCAAAAACACTAAACTAGACTCTATAAACTCAAAACTAACTTAAAACACTCAAAACAGCAAATAACAATAAAAAAGATTCAATTCTAGACCTAACAAGTGATTTGGACGAAAATATAACTTTAAAAGACTCAAAAGATTTAAAGGAAACAAGTTTTGACTCTAAAAGCAAGACTTAAAAGCAAGGGGTTTTGTTTTGACGAAAATTGAACTTTAAAACTTTAAACTTTGAAAATAAACTTAAAACAAAACAGATTGTGATGAAATAGAATGATGAGAAACTAGTTAGAGGGTTCCTTATCCACACATGAACATATGCATATAATTTGATTCCCAGTTATGACTTCAACAAACGATGAATGACAATGTTCCAAGTTAATTAGGTCCGCTTAAATTAACTCTTAGATTTCCCTAGATTCATTGGATTGAATGGAATACGCATTACAACCAAATTATTCCTCATCAAAGTCCCTAACTATGGAATACGCATGATAGAGACATTCAACAAAGATCATTAAGGTCAACGGAAATCATAAACATTGACTAGGCATTCATAACTATGGAATACGCATGTTAATCCAGCCTAGGGTTTACTTAAACACAATCGTGACTAGCGATCTTTACTACTCATGAATATAAGTTCATAACGATTAGGTGAAATTCCCTTATATCCTAGCATCAAGTTTAGGCATGCAAATTAAGTGTCGACCCTCAACGCACATACATAAACAAGTTCTTAATCAAAACAGAAAAGTAAACCACATCTAAAGTTCATGAATTCATAACTGGAGTAAAACAAATCATAACCAACATATGTCCATGGCTTCAAATTTGCCTCTAACTAAAAAGAAATTAGTTCCACATGTTTAACATAATTGAACAGCAAGTTAAATTAAACATGAACATAGAATTAAAAGAAGAAAGAATTCCAAACACTCTAATAGTTGCAGATTGCATAAGCACGGCACTACTCCTCCTCTCCTTCAATGGTGGCGGCACAAGGTGGTTATGGTGGTTGAATGGTTGGTTATATGGAGGAATGGATGGGGAAGGTTTAGATATGTAGGGAGAGGCAAGGGAAGGCTTGGAGAATGGTTAATTTCTGGATGATTTGAATGAGGTTGCTGCCATGGTATTTATAGGAAAAGGGTGGACTTGTTTAACACAAAATTCTGGTGGAATTGAGTAGGTGAGCACGGCAAAGAGTGGGAATTGTTGGTGGGTTAGGTATTGAGTCATCCATTCACATGTCATGGTGAGTTAAGCATTGCATCATCCACTCACATGTCATGGTGATTTAAGCATTGCATCATCACTCAAATTTCTGGTGAAAGTGAATCAATGCCCACGGCATTGAAGAATTTCTTGGTTTTGAGTGAAGTTTTGGTCAATCCTTCTAGAAATTTATCCCTTCTTGCAACTTGTATTTGTTTCACCAGATTTTTAGCATGTTCATAGCCTCTTTTGTCTTCAAATTCGTCCATCCTCATGCCTCCATGCTTGCACAATCCAATCTTGGCCCAAAAATGCTCTAGAATGTTCCAAATTGCTTCTTTTTGCATACTTTGACACTAAAACCTGAAATTGCACGAAAATAACTTTAAACACTATAATTATCATAGTTTAGCTAATTAAAAGCAAGAAAACAAGCTAACTAAGTCGTATAAATATGCTCCTATCACTGCTGTGCAGCAACAGAAACCCAGAAACCGATCTGCAGATTACAGTGCAGCCATTCATTCCGACGAGACCAGAGGGGCGGAACCATGTTCATGGGCTTAATTTCCAGCAAGGGGAGGGGCGGCCGCCCCTCCCAATCCCTCTGTAGCTTTGCCACTGGATACCACTACGTATTAAGTAAGAAATGAGCCATCTAACCTAGCTAGTAGGTCATCAAAATTTGTTTCTACGCAATATGTGGCAATGTGGTCATAGTTGTAGATGGCTTTTGCTAATTATGTAAAAAATGTAACAAGCACCATTAACTAAATCAAACAGAAATTGGTTTTCAGTTGTGATTCCTTAGAATAATAAATTGATATTGTAAATGATCAACAACTAAGTCAAAATAAGTAGTTTGTCATGATTAATAGTATAAGATGGCATTTCAAGGGATATATCTACATTTGTAGGCGGATATACTTTAGTTCATATCTGAATCCATTTACAATTACACTACCAGATCCTGCCCGTATTCGGCTTGTTAGATTTGACTTGATCCATATGAAATAAGCGTCAGATTTGGATCAAATCTAACTTAAGACCAATTTTTTTTTTAAAACATCATCCTTAACGACTTCATTCTTCATTCTTAATTTCATGGTGTATACTAATTTATGGTGGAATACATATGAACAATGCTCAAACTTCAAGTCAAGATTCTACATTTCAAATTCTGCCTTCAAGTGCAAGGTGGTTTTACAAAGCTATTTTAGAGTCCAATTGAGATTCGTGTCAATGATACGGAATTCAACCCTAGCAACACTAGAATATGACTTCTTAAAGAGTGTACCAGCAATCGTGTCAATTTTTTGTGTTTGAATACTTGACTTTGTAATGGAATGTAGCAAGAGTAGATGCTATGTATCACCAACGCATATGCGTTGCGTTACAATTCAAATCATGACACTAAGCAATGTTAACAATATGGTAATGTTACACTACTACAATATTAGCTTTAGATGTCGGATGATGGTGGTGGTTTAATAAGCCATTATGTCAGATAAAAGATATCCGACACATCATTCAGTTAGTGTCGGATAACAATGAAATCAT